AATGTCAGGGTAAGGACGTGTGGTGTTTGGGAGTTACATGCATGGATGAAAAACACATTTCCTGCTCATGACTTGTGGGCAGCCACGGTTCAGCCGGCCTTTTTTGTTAACGTCTGCAGAACGGACCGAATGGCTCCTGCCAGGAAGCAGTGCTTGCATAAGCATGCACAAGCTATAGCCTCGCAGCACGGGTTCCATTTGCCACTGCGTCCAACAGGAAACAACCGTTGCACAACACTTGCATTCAATGTCCTGTGTTCACAAATGAGTTCGCCCGAAAGTACCCAGCCCATTCCTGGGAAGGCCGACACAGTGTCGCGACAACATCTTGCTATCATGCTTATCTCAGCCGGGCAATGAACTGTACCTGATGAGACCTGTGACGCACGGGAGGTAGAAAAGCGGCATTTTCGTTGGTCGGGTGAGACAGAAGTTTGCATTCTCTGCCCCCCCTTGCATAGAGCAGGAGGGAGCTTCGGCAACGGAGGGAGCGGCAGTGGCATCTTCGATTGAGCGCTTGGAGGCCGAAAGCCAGAGTCACTAGCAAAGCATGTATCTGTTTGAGTGCCGATGGACGGGCTGAGGGAATCCTGGCATTCAGCGTGCAGCGAGCATTGGTTCTGCAGGCCCTTCAGTGATGCCTGCAACTCGCTCATCGCCGTCCGAATGACTGTCAGGTCTGTCCACTCCAAATGGTGCTCCATCGACATCGAGTCTGGCCCCTTGGGCACCTTAGACACAGTCTCGAGGGTCTCCGCAATGCGCCTCTCTAGAGCTTGTCTCGCTTCGCGAATTGATGCTTTCTGCCTGGCCGAAGTTTTCCGCAAAACTTCAGCAGAGAACCAGAAAGTGTTGTAGACAGTGCAATGGCTGTTCAACATCAGCGGGTCATAGCTGCTCCCTCGTAATCGCAGGAGTCCCTCCTGAAGCTCACTACAGGCAATGGCTCCGATGTGATCTCTGTCCAGAATGTTCATGACATCCTCTGATGTCGGCGGAAGTGCAACTTTCATAGCCTTCAGTATGTTTCGGCCTTCAGGGGCCTGCAGCAGCTTCAGCGTTTCGTGTTGTGTCATATCTGGGGCCTTGCCCATGATATCAAAATACAGTCGGGAGATGCGCTCCTTCAGCTGCGTGATTTTGAAACTCGCCTCTTCTGTAGAGTCAGGAGGCTGGTTGGATGCCAGCAGTAGGACGCGCTCACATATCACGCCTGTTACGACATTCCTTGGCTGCTCCTTGCTGTGCGCTGGCTGAAAAGATTGGGGGCATCTTGACACTAGAGAAAGCCCAAAAATGTAAAGCCCCAAAAGCCAGCAGATGTCAGCCAAGATTCAATACCGCAAAGTTGCTGACCAGTAAGAAGGCAACAACATAGATACCCCACAAGTAGGATTGGAGCATCATTTGTGCGGCGATGTCAGGCCAGGCCTCTATCAAAACGAGTTGAATATGAGTCAAGAACCCCTGAAAGATGCTGTTGAACAAGCCATCTCCTGCTTCGTTGCCAGAACCCAGAAGCTCGCAGCAGAGTAGGGCACCCGCATAGCAAAGGGCGGTCAACAAAATCATGACGTCTAGAATTGCAATGAAAGTGCTGAACAAGCCTTTCACTAGCATTGCAAGTGCCGGAAAAGTTTGCAGCAGCCGAATGATGCGCAGCAACCTGAAAGTACGAATCGTTTGTAGCGACGAGGTGGACGTCTCTGCAGAACTCGCCTCCAGAACATAGAAGGCGGTATGCGCAAGCGTGGCCAAGAGAACAACAGCATCAAACACTCCAGAGATGCTGTAATAATATTTCTGTCCCAGAGCCTGGCTGCGCAGGCAATACTCAATGGCGAAGACGATCAGGAAAACAATTTCCAAAATTGCAAGCACGTACAGAACTGGCCCAAGCCTCTCGAGTAAACCTTCCCCAGACAGATCTGCCTCTAAACCTAATTCGACACCAAACGCAATCGACTGCACAAGGATTAACGTTCCGAACAGATGGTTAGACTCGTCTGAAAGAACCCAATGGGATCCAACGAGCACTTTGCGCACGTGTTCGTCGTGTATAGCATCCAGCCGCAGCCACGTTGGAGAGTTCTGAACATCTAGCATGGATGATGTCTTTGCTCGCAGCTTCATCATAGTGGAGTTCTTGATTCTGTATGCTTTCCTTGCAGCGTTCTTTGCATACGCATGACTGACTGAGCCTTCGCTGCTTTCCTCATCATCCTGGAACTTCGGTTCCAGCTCGGCCATGGGTTGACACACAGAGGTAGAACTTCCAGGATCAGCAGTGTGGGAAAGTTGAACTTTCTCCAGACCCAAAACTTTCCCAAGACTTGTGAGGCATGGCACATCCTTTTGGCTTGGGCCAAGAAGCCTTGCAGATATACTATTGCGGATATGCCTATAGCCACAAAGCTTCAGAGATGTCGAACCCTTTTGGGGGAACCGTAGCGACCTGTTTAAGGATTGTGGGGCAGGCGAACTTTCCAAGTAAGATGATCCAAGAGGCACATGATTGATCCAAGAGCTCGCGGGACGTGAAGAGCCGCCAGCGGCGGAGCATCTGCCACACGACGCTCTCCACGGCGAGGGTCTCGTTATCTCAATTCACAACAAGCGGCCCTGGAGTGTTTACAATCATGATGTAAGCCTAAGCTCCTTGCTTGCCCATGCAGCAGGTGGCGACCAGCGTGAGACAAGTTCCTCCAAAGGACAGCGGCCTACGAAAGTTTTATCTGAATCTGCAAATTTTCTGCTACAGTGCCTGGATGAGCTGCTGTTTGCTTGCCTCATCGGGCATCGCTGTCCCCCAAGGTTGGTGGATCCATAGTTGGCTCCCCTCACTCACCGTAAATCCGGGATGTGGACCTGTCCATGCAATATATTGAAATGAGCAGCTTGGAGATCAAATGATATAAAAGGCATATAAACAAGCATCTGCGCTCGCAAGGAAGACCACAGACATTCATCTGCGGCGTGGCCTTGGATTTGGGAGTCGCGCACGAGCCAAGCCGCGGAAACCTCATGGCTCGGTCTTACCCAGGTCTGCAGGGCCGCGTGCTGCAGATCGGCACCCACGCCCAGACCGTCGGCAAGAATGCAAAGCGACATAGCGCTATGTCGCTTTGCCCCACTCCATCGCAGGAGGCATTCTCACAGCGTGGCCTCTTTGGGCTGTGCCTCCCCTCCCAATGCACACAAGCTATCGTAAGCTTGTGAAATCTCGCAGGGATCGATTCTCTCATTGTAATGTGGAACATTCCGGGTAGTTTCGGGATCAATAAGGGAACTGACAGGCCACCCACTTGCGGACCGTAAGTTCGTGCAAGTCGTATGTTCACTTGTTGGGAGTGCAAGCCAGCGCCAGCTAGGAGCACATTGGGCGAAAACTGTGCAAATCGAGAGTGGGACTCGACTGAGGCCGTCGTGCTTTTGACTCGCAGTTACTTCTTGGCCTCTTTTGGCGCAACTCTCAGTGGCTGGGGGGCCTGCTTGCGGGCGGCGCGGATGCGCCAACTCCATTATCTCATGGGAATGCTCAGCAAGCCTGCTTTTGCTGGCTTGCGGCAGCTTGGCTGAATCTGGGCAATGTGATGCAATGTGAGACCTTTGGAAAAGTTTGGAGCTGAACAAGTGGGGCTTCAGGTCGGCTTTGGGCACGTTCTGTGACCGGCCATCAAGAAATCTTCTCAGCAAGCTCCTTGCCGGAGACACGGATGCTCACCTAAGCTGTTGGGAATCTTTCGAATGCTAGAGTCTTTCTGTGCAGGCAGCAAACTGACCTACTGCCTTCGCCACTGTACGTCCCTGACAAGTACACTCATGAAATGCGACACCTGAGCGTCCGGCCCAACCCTTTGCTGGTCCAGTGCCCTCTTCAAGCCTCGCACATGGTGAGAGGCTTTTGCCTTCAAGACCTACCTTGTCCAGAGTGCCGGCGAGACCTGTAGCAAAGCCGTTCTCCAACTTTGGCCTCAGCTTCAGGGGGCATGAAGAAACAATGACCAGAACTACTTCCTCACACGAATGATTGGGATCCCGCGATTTCCTCGACAACGGCCCCAGTGCTCACCTGCGGATATTGGAAATGTTGATTCTTTAACAACTTCCATTTGATTTGTGCTCGGCACTCAACGGCCGTGCTTCAAGAGACATATTGCGCTTTCGACACGCGAACAGAACTGAACGGTGTGGCAGCTCCCTCCAGAACCATTACAAAGTCTGTATGATCTTCAAAGCTACTGACTGGCTGCCTGCATCTCACGGGTGCCTTGCTAGTCGGTCAATGTTTGGGGGGGGCCCAGACTGGTGAGTTCCCAGACCTGAAGAACAGCAAGAAAGCTGCTGGGTGAGTCCAGCAGAGGTGTAACTAACTTCAAGCCCAGCCTTTGCACAAACGGAAAGAAGATGAAACAAAAGGTACCGACTCGAAGCTGAGCCGGCAGCTGTGTGACCGCGAGCACTACGCGAGCATTTGGCGGTTGTTGTATACTATTTAGTCTTTCCACGCGCAAAGAGCATGACATGCTCTACATTGTAGAGTTCCGCAATGGCTGGCAAGTTGGCTCGTCGTTGCTTTCCGCGGTTCATCTGTGCAGGCTGCTCTCAGGCAGGTGCACCATCCGCCAACCACTGGCCGAATACTGTCTGCACGCAGAGACGAAAAAGGTCGGGGCCTTCAAAAGCCACCTGCGCCTCCTTCGCGGATTCGCGAAACTCCCTGAATAAAAGCCCAACGAAAACGCTGCATCCTACCTTGCCACATAGAGGTTTAGCGCAGCATGGCGGGACTTGAGCGAGGAATGGGCAGCTTCGGCTACACTACAGCTGCTGCCACAACACGAAACAATGTAAGCAAGAGCAACCACAAAGCATAACGTCAGAACTTTCGCGAACAGTGTAATCTTTCGCTGTAACTATGGCCAGCCTTTCGCGGACCACTAGAAACGGCTAAAAACGCTTGTTTTGTGAGCGCGAAAGCGATGAGCTTTACAACAACCCTCATTTTTTGTGGGTCAACTGAGTGCTGCAGCACTGCGCATTGCTGCATGCTCGGGCAGGCACACGCCCAAGCTCGGCAGACTTGAGCGATTCGGACTGTCGCACGATGATGCCACCTTTGTCCGCACCTCGCAGCCAACAGAACCATGTGGTTTCGCATCAGCAGGATTGAATACATCGAAACCCTGGTGCCTCCTGTTATCCTCCATCGAGGAACCGCTGGAACATTCGAAGCCACCGCTGCTGCAGGCTCGTCTCTGGCAATCGGAAATGGATCATCGTGGTCCTGCAGGTTTGGTGAATGTGGGAGGTCTGCGCATGCCGGCATGTCTGATTACGACGTGTCCATAGATCAAGGGACAACAAACCGAGTGTGAACCTCAAGGACAGCATGGACAGCGTCCTCTCCAATCTGCCCAGCAGCTTCTTCAACATGATCCTGACGGAGGCTTCAGACTGCGATGAAACCGGATGACGGCAAAGGACGAATGGCTGGCCTGCTCAGTTCCGCTGGGGCCAAGGTACTGGAAAATGTAGATCGCCTCACGAGCAGGTGGTTACGAATATGACTCAAATATGACCAGCATATGACCAGCATATAAGACTCTATGACTCCATGAGTGATGCCTGTGCAGGACTGCTCGTCTGGGGAGGGAGGCTTTGGGGGGCTATTTGGGACCTAAGGACACCACCAGCGGATCGACCAGGTCGCTGTTCTTTACTGTGCTGCCATCCCTACCTGAGAAGATGACAAGCATCAAGTGGAGCTGCAATTCCTTACGGCCTTCGAACGGACTGAGCCAAAGGCATAAATCGAACCACGACGCGTGCTCGGGCGCGGAGGATGTCATTTTCCCTGAGTTTATCATACACGAGCTCAGGCGACGCAAGCGAAGCCTTCTTCACCGAGACACGTTTCAAATCCAGCACAGTCGTAGCCGAGTCGACTTCGAACTCATGCGTCCACTCCTGTTGTGAGTTCGGCTGCCATCACAACAACGACTGCTGGTTGCTTGTACGGAAATTAACAGCAAGTACTCCCTGGCTGACCTGTTCCTCATGCTTGAACGACACAGTGGCTCGCGGCATCGCAAAAGAATCCAATTTGTGAGGCTGCTGACTACTCGAGCCAAATGGAACAGGCCTAAGTAGGCTAATCACAGCTTGGATTCGCAGCTGGACAGCCGCACGCACACTGTAGCGAGTCGACTTAGCCAAAAACTCTCGCTTTTCAAGAACTCGATAGCATTCGCATTCCTTTAGATTACCGGATTGGCACCGTCTCTGACAACCGATGATGGGTGGCGCTGCCATCTCTTTTAACAAGGCAGCTCGCACGCATCTTCACTTGCTCTCTAAGGCAATTTGCCTTGGAACAGCTCAACGAAGTCGGCACGAATACAAAAGTCTGCAGCATGCCATGTCCAACAATCTGAGATCCCAGCCGGTAAGCATGACCTCTGAAAACATGTCGCAGCATTTGAGTCTTTCAGGGCGGGTGTTTGGAATGATTCGCTGGTGCGCAAGTAGGGACTGCACCAAGCCGTACGAGATGACGCCGTACGCGAGGATCAATCCACAAAGGGTGAGACCGGTCTGCCAGGTACAGTTTGGTTTCATGGAGCTCAGCTGCAGTGACAAATGTCACTTGCCTCGTGACCTTGAATGCAAAGCCTTCTATCATCGTTCAGAAGCGGTTACCAGATACAGCACGACAAGATCTCAAATCCAAGCAAGCTACAACACTAGAATGTTTCAGGCAGCGTCTAAGCTATGAAAAGTGACATTGTGCCAGCGTAGAAGACCAGTACTCGTTCCAAGCACCCCTTCGAGGACCGAGTTTCGGGATCGCGAGCCCAGGAATCCGAAAGAGTCGAGAAGCCGCCGCGCGAGACCGCGGGACCAAAAGCAACGAGAGTTTCGAAGGTCGCGACTGAGCCGACATAGGCAGACCACTCGATTTCCAGTTTGTTCGCACTCCCTCAGAGGATCGCTTCGGCGATTTTCTGCATTCTTAGAACATCGCACCATGCTGTTTTGTAGCTTGCCCCCTGCCAACGGAAACGACATGAAACAATGCTTCCGTGCTCACGATTTCGCACATTTTCACATCAAGAAACCCGTTCCAGGCGTGCTCGAAGTGGTATAAGCTTACATAAGCTTGAGAAATCACAGCAACCAAGTTCAGAGCCTTGCAGGGGCACGTTACATGCAACTGAGGCTGCCATCCCGTCATTGATGAACATGTTGCAGGTGTGGCTTACTGCACCTGGACACTAGGCTCTTGATTTTCGAGCCTACTTTCAAACATGTTTGGTGGGAACATTGGCGTCGTCCATTCCGATGCGGTACCGTTCAGGCACCGGGCTGGGCATCGCCGGTATGATTTCCGACCGTACCCTGAGCTTTCGTTACATATTGCTTCTAGATACACTGCTGCGAGCAACCTCGCATCCCATATTGAAAGTCTTCCTTGTTTGGCGTGAAGTGTTCTGGGTAAGCTCTCGGGGCGTTGAGGGGCTTCCATTGAGGCTGCCGATGGAATGCTGTCCGGAGCGCGTTCAATGATCTCGGTGCGTTTTTCGAAATTCGACATTTTCTTGGACCAGTGGCGCGGTCTTTCATGTCACAGAAACTCCCGCTGTTTGGGGTCTACGCTGACATGATTCGATTGAGTTACCTGCCGCACGCCTTGTTTGCTTGCATTGATTCTACCAAGTGTACTCATGAGCCCATCCGTTCATCACAGCCTTGAGGCTGTACTCATTGGCAAGCGCATTGAGGTTGTCCTCTCGAACCTGGCGATTGTCTTGAACGCCAAAGAAACTAGAAACTCAAGTGTGAGACCACGTAAGTTTGGCTGAGGCAGGCGCCCACCGCACATACCTGGCAGCGCTTTTCGATCACTGCAAAGGTGACCCCGACTGCAGACAGCACTAGACTGCCACTGACATCGCCTCTGGCTGTACTACCATCTCTGTACTCTCCACCCTTGACACTCTTGCAGACAAACAAACAACGCCCTGGCGACCTGGGTTCCGGGACCGATAAGAGTTTGTATGTTGCCTCAGCTTTCCGGCTTGCCTGGGACAGTTTGACATAGCTTCGAGAAGTCAATCAAGCGAAAAAGGCACTCCCATCCTTGCGGTACTCGTCATAGCTGCTGGATGAGAAGAAGCCCTCGTTGTCGAAGATAACAATGCCACCCGTGGCCTGTCACACCGCGACTCGATCTAATGTCACGGCCAAGAGAGTGTTCCTATCAGCTCAGAACGGTCCCCCAGGGGCCTGCTTGTCCTTTGCATCGCCACACCAGAAGTCTCCTAAGGCATCGTACAGCTTGCGACACTACTGGTGAAAAGGCACGAGCATGAGTGTCGACGGTCATCTATTGAAATTGAGATCCTCCTTCAAGGGAGCAGCAGCCTGTGCCCACCGCCCAGTACTGCGGGAAACACTCAGATTCGAAGGCATGCAAGGGGAAATCAATTCTTGGCAACAACATTGTCCTGCATCTGCTGGTTTTGGCTGGCATCCCGCACCGGTGCTACGCCTTGCTGTTGTCTGGACCGGGAGCATGCATGAGTTGTATCTTCACGCATGTGCATAGGTGTCAAACATTGCTGAGCCATTGCTGAGGCCCTGGCAGAAGAGGGAGCCACCTAAACGATAGCAAGTTCGAGAACACTAGTCTCCAGTGTCTGACCGGACTGCGTTGGTAAGGCATGTGCGCTCGGTAATGTACGAGACAGAACGCTTAATGTCCACCTTGTCGTTCGAGTGATGCAGAAGATATGCAGACTTCGCTCAGCTCACCCTGTAGTCACAATCGAGCCCATTGCGAAAGCCGAGGAAGAAAAGACAAGCTTGCCGGCATCGGCCACCTAAAAAAACAGAACCGGCGACGTAGACAAGCTATGACAAGCTCACTGCAGTGCTTGCAAGAATGCTACGGCCCGCGCTGCAGCACTCGGCTGCGATGGAAGCACATCCGTGTAAACCCTGGCACCACACTGCAACTCCCACGCGCCGCACATGCCGCATCGAGTGACTACAATCCGCACGCAGCACCGCGCGTTGCTATAGAATTGCGGGTAGATCGCATACCTGCAACGCAAAGCAGTCTCAAGGAATCTCAGGTCGGCTGCAGGTCTGTTCACTGCGATCCCACTCTTCACTCTTCACTCTTCAGCGCACACGTCGTAGGTGTAAAGACCACCGATGGAGCCAGCAACGGTGGCCACCGGCAACAACAGGGAGAGCGGAAGGAAAGCTCGTACTGCAGCAGGGCACACTCCAACGTCTCAGCCGTTTGAAGGCGTACGTCTACCAAGCAGAAAAGAGCTGCGATCAGCTGCGCCTTCGAACTTGAATGTAAACAGCCTGATCTGACATGGGCTTCGGCCTTCTCCTAGTAATGTATAGTACACGTACGAGTACATGTCTCGTACACGTCTCGTACATTTCTTAGCTCGCAACACCGCAGCGACCATCAGGAAGAATGCCGACAAGATCACACAGATACTTGGCCTCTGTGCAGGTCGGACGGCTGCCAGTTGCCAGCTCTGCTGGAGCACTTCCGACCCCAAGGCTCATGCAGCGCCATAAACCCGAAAGTGTAGAACAACCTGCTAGGCAAAAGCTTGCTCTTGGATACTGATGCCATCGTCGAGATCGCGCATTGGAGTTGATTATTGCAATCGAGGAACAGCAAGAACAGGAAAACTGCAAACTGCGGGCCCCAAACGGCCTTGGTACCAGCACGAGCTTACAGACAACACCCACTGCCCAAACATGCGACTGTTCCAGCACCAGTGTCAAGCCCAGCCACCCAGAATCCTGCTTGCTTCCAGACTGAAAGTGGAGACTTCTGCCTGCAAGACCAAACAGTCTTAGCAGAAAACCGCCATGTGCCATGGCCGTTACTTAACAACACTCAACTTGTGCTCGCACCCGCGGGGTTTTGCCGGCCAGTTGCCATCTTTCATCGCCTTGTGCTTCGAGGCTTTCAGCTCTTAGAGCAGTTTTGTATATGACTTGACTCGAAAAGTCAAAGGCCCTGACAAAGGGGTGGGGCTGACCCCTGGCTGCTATGTTACCGTATCGGAATTTGAGCCATTACTCTGGTCGACGAGCAACATGAGCAAGAAAGGCGCCCCCCACGAGAAATTAGACGAACAAGCTGGCATTCTGTCTTGCGAGATATCTCGCAAGTCGGCTCTTAATGAGAGGACTGGACAGCACGAAGCTGGCGTACTCAACGACTCAGTGGGCTAAGCCGGCCAAAACGACAGTCGGATGTCGCAGAGTACACGCTGGATCCCTCTTGAGCAGCTACTTGAGCAGCTTGCAGCTGCCGTCGCCACAGGGCAGGAGACCAAAGGGCCATGAAAAAAGCCTAGCGTCGCAACGTGGTGGAACGCGTGCAAATTTAAAGGCAGCAGCTGTAGCGGTTCCTCACATTTCAGCACCATCTTCACCCTCCTGCCAGGGTCACAGAGTCCATAGCCAGGTGCCGTCTCTCTTGCAGGGGGCTCCGTGTTGCTATGTTACCGATCTTAGAGAGCAAAGCAGCACATGATAAGATCGCAGAGATTCTGGCGATGTGGGAGCAGAAGCAAAACTGGCCAGTCCTGCACCTCCTCCGAGGCTTCGAGGACTATGCCCATCAACTGAGTGCTTCCGTAGGACTGACCACGGCTTGAACACGCACCACGCATGCTGGCATGCTGCTGGTACCATGCTTTCGTTCAAACTGCAAGGCCTGTAGTCCACCCGGCTGGAGGCCCAGGAGCTCCTAGGAAATTTGAAACATGGACACAATCGAGATACTGCAAATAAGAATTCCTCACAGGGGTCCAGTCGTGCCTTTCAGTGGCCCTTCAAAAAAGAAAAAGACCGTCCTCCAGCTCCTTTCGCAGCCGGCCGATCGTGAAGCTGCCTGCTAGAGTGGCAGGTTTCGCGAAGCCCAGCTCTAGGCTGACTCTGGTCTCTTTTTGCCTGGTGAGCTGGAAAGCACATGGCTTCCATGACATCGCACAGAAGCCGAGTGGAGCGAAACTGCTGTATGCCGAATCCGGTCACAGAGAAGCGTCCCCGCGACACAAGCTGCCAACGCGCTTCAGCTTTGAGGTCTCGCCATGATTCACGCATCACCCAAACCATCATCGATAACTTGACGATCAGCCTGTCGGTCGTTGTAGATGTATGGTCCTGTGTTGTCGTCAAGCCCTTCACGATAACAATGCCCAGTGAGGTCGAACCTGTTGAGGCAACGCAACAAACGTTGCGTGTTCAGGTTCTGGAAGAGTCAGCGAAGCCAGCAGCTGGTTGGATCTTGCAGCGGCGTTGCAGCCACAAAGCCGGCGGTACAATGCGGTACAGTACCATCCACACCACAGTCGCAACATCATATGGCTTCGATGTGTCTGGCCAAGTCAATGAGTCAATTGAAAGAGCTCATGTTCTGCAGCCACGACCCCCTTCTCAGTCGACAGCCTTTGCAATCTTTGGCTTCGAGGATGTCTTCGTGAACCACGTCTGCACTTCCTGCAGCACATGGGGGGGGGGGGAACTCGGGTTAGCACCCAAGTGCTGACTAAAAATCAAGAGCAGACCGCAGCCAGTCAGGCAGTCGTGATCAGTAAACCCATCTGGTCCTGTGCCCACTTCCGCTCAGTTCGGAGCATGGCTTTGTGAAGCTCAATCTCGGTTTGGCGGAGAGTCTTCCGACAGCACCCCCACATCAACGAAAAGCAAAAACTTCAAAAAAACACAAACGCAGCTACCCGACCTCATACCTTCTACCAGGAACATTTGTGGCATCGAAATGAGTATGTAATGGATAGTCACTCTGAATCGTTCAGCATTGGGAGGACACAGTAATTTTCGGTGGCATTTAAGGCCAGCGTCCGAATTGGCCACATAGTCCTTGGCTTGCGAGGCAGTGCAGTGCAAGGAAATTCGAGAAGATCCCCGCAGAATCGCTGTCAATGATACATGCTTCAGCCGACTGACTCCGCCGGCGCGCTCGAAGCGCCACAGCTGAAGCCTCGGATCTATTGGTAGCAGCGAGCCTTCTGGTGCACCGCTGGGCCAAGATGGAGTTGTCTGATCTTGCCAAGCTGCAAATATGCAGGCACCATGGCAGCAGCAATGGCTGGCCCGGCGGGAGGCACCAGGCCTGTTACCTCAGCATGCAGCACGAAAGTAACGAAATGTTGCACTCCGCTCGGAGCAGTCAGTGTGCGCACATGAAGATTGTCATACCCGCTCTCCATAAATTGAGTCTAGAGATGTTGGTGCGTATCTATAATTAGGAAGTGAAAGCAGTACGGGCCGGGGGGGTGCCTTGCCTTCCGAAGCTGGTGTTGCCCTTCTTTTTTCTTTGTTCTTCTCCACAGGCTGTTGCTTCGTGTCGTCCTTTACTGTCACCAGGCCAACATTGGCTCTCCCCGCCTTCCCTATCGATGGTGTAGGTGCTTTCCCTTCTCTGCCCTCGCCGCTCTCCCCCCATGCTCCCTGTCCTCACACTTCCCCAGGCCTGGGAACCGCTGATGTTCGTGGCCGTTGTCCAACAAAGTGGACTTTTTCGAGGGAGGGCAGAAGCACCCACTATCCTGGAGCTAAATGAGGAAAACAACACCTGTGCTGCTCGTGGGGCGTGCATACCAACTTCTAAACTTCAGCCAGACACCGCAACTGCCGCCAGCGTCATGTCGGCCAGACCGTTCAGGCGCTTCTGGTTCCACTGCTCATTTTCTTCCTGCACGCGGACTAACTCCCGCTCCAGCTCCTCCTGAAGGTCAACTGCAGCTGCAGTATGCTGCAGTCACACACGGACTCGGAACAAAGGCTTCGGCAACCAACTTGATTCGGAAGCCTTGATTGACTATTTTTCATGTAATCTTTAAACTTTAAACATCTTTAAGCCTTAGACCGCTACTGCAAATTGGTCATGTCTTTGCGAGTCAAACATGCCGATCAGCTGGGGAGGAGTTGGAGTAGTCACGAACTGAACTAATCTCAGGATGTTTCAGAATCGCACGATGGTGCCTGAATGATTCGAATTTCTTCGTCTTTCTCCCCTGCATGAACTCTCCCGTGTCCTCAAGCTCGCTCACGCTTTGAGCCACTGCATCCTCTTCGGAGAAGAGCGCCATTTTCTGGAGCTCGGCGGTGGCTGCCATCACAGCCTCACGGTGGGCTCCAGCAAGCTCCTCTGCCACCAGCGCTCGCGTAGCGGCCACATCCCCGAGCAAGATCTCTGGAAGTCTTGCCTTCCCTTTCATCAAGGCTCCCGACCGATACATGCTGGCTCGATAGCAAGACCGTGCCCGCTCCACTGCAGTTAACATACTCAGATCTGACAACGCCACGCTGTAACTCTTGTCACTTTCTGGTAGCTCCTGAGAGGAATTCAAGACAGCTACGGAGTCCCGCAATGTTTGCTGAAAATCCTGGACCGCAATAGCGGCCCCGACTTGAGCACTTGCTGCCGTGGAAAGGGCGTCAAAGAGCCTTTGGCATTTGCCAATGAATCCCAAAGAGATTTCTGAGCTCATGCCTCCCCAGGAAGGCGAGTCGATGTGGCCTGGGTGCGGCAGCGTGCGGCACTCCAGCGACTCGAAGAACTGACCCAAGCCCTGACCCGCTGTGGTCGAATGGACGAAGGTTGTCAGGATTTGGTGTTCCTGGGCATTCATCGGCATCAGCAGCCCGGGCTCTGTACTCGCATCGTTAGGAAGAGGCTCCTCATGAGCCCAATCTCGCACCAAAAAAGTCAGATTCTTGGAGTCTGAAGGAGGTCGCGGCCTTCCATGGTGGCGACAGCTCATGTGCAACAGTTCCATCGCCACCTGCAGATCTTCGATAGTGTCCTGTTGCAGCTGCTTGGACACGTTGAAGAGGAGCGTGGCGGACAGAAGTCCAGCCAGACCCAGCAGAGAGTTATTCTGCCAACGGGCAGCGCCGGGCTCGTAGGTGCCCTGTGTGTCCAGGAGCAGAAGGCCAACCCGCGTCTTTGCCGAACTCGGTCCCTTGAAAACGTGGGGGCACACCCAAATCCCTTCGGTGATGCGCTCCATGCCCGACCTCCAATGAAATCGCTGATGATCTTGCAGAGACTCTGCCAGCCAGCCCTCGGACGATTTCGACTCTAAATATCTTGCAAAGAGGTCGAGGAAGAAGGATTTGCCCTGTCTCAAAGCACCTGCTATCGAGACCACCGCAATGTGTTCACAGGATGAGGCGCTCAACGACTTTGCAAGCATAGAGAGACCCAGCTCATCAATTGCAAGCTGTCCATCTTTCACAGCGACCAAGCGAATAGCTTCTGGCACTCGTACGGAGCGTCGCGATACAGCTCTCATTCGTCGGATGCTGTGCTGGTTGAGGCGATGCCCAGCTCCAGCACCACAAACGATGCTCGCCACGCTGCTTAGAAGTATGGACCTTGTGGTCAGTCTGCCCGCATGGGTATGGGGTGACCTTGAAAGCTCCAGACCACCCAAGACACCGCTCCGCTGCAGCACCGGCCACTCTATGCGAGATGCCGTGAGACGCGTATGAGAGGCTTTCATGATACGAGCTCAGCTCGACCACAGCGTGCTTTGCCGCGAATGAGGGTCCAGAGCAGAAACTGCGCAGAAATGCATGTCGTGCTGGCCTAGTAACCGTGAGTGCACCTGCTAGCAACTACCAAGACCTTGAGAGTTTCTGGCCCGGCCTAAATCGCTCTCCTCACGGGCAAGCTGCAACGCAGCTGCTTGCAACCTCCCCAAAACATGCTGACCAACATAAGATAACATGAGCAAGTTTCAAGCTGTGGATACAAAACTGTCACGCCGCCTCTCTGCCGTCAAGCCCTCGCCAGGTACTTTGCGCCTCATGGCCTGCATGGAGATGCATCGAGTACCATGCAGTTGCAGCCACAGCCTTTGAAGCTGGAGGGTGGCATGTGCACACTGGGCCGGGCGCAGGCGTGGCTGGAGCCAGACTTTTGTCGTTGCCGTTCCACTCCTCACTGCTTGGTGGGCTCAAGGTGTAGAATCACGAATCTTGAGAAGTCGAAAAGTGTGCAAAGCTGTGCACAGAGGCCGTTCAGGACTTGGCCCGTGACTAAAGCTGCAAGGCGACGCCGCTCCATCGCCTGGTCATCTACGACGCGGAGCCTTTGGAAGCTTTCAGGCAATGCACCAAGGGATGCAGGCTTTATTAATCTTCATTATGTCTTCTCTCAGACTGTTTCTGAGATTTTTTCTTCTGAGGATGCTGCTGCGCTAGAGACGCTCCGGCCGCACTGGAGCGACCTCTCACACTGACATTGATCAGCTGCGCCTATAGCTTTGCTATCCGACTGGACGACACAGAGCTGCGAAAAGTTCTGCGAAGATACGCCAGTCTAAACTCTAAACCCCAAAGCGCCTGCAGGTCCGTTCTGATCCGACCAAGATGGCTGAATGCCAACCTCTTGTGTGTTCCGTGGCCCGAGCGTTGTTGTACCCGTTGTTTCTGCACATTTCGGCTGGACAAAACGGCACATCTGCTGCGCCTGCAGCGGGGCGTCATAATACGTGATGACCTGAATGCGAAGCGGAGAGGAGTGGCCTTCATCTTGTCAGATCGTGACTCATGCTGTACAGTAATTATGCTTAGACCATGTTATCCTCATGCCAGGGCCGTAAGAAACAGGCGTAACCACGGTCTCCGCTAAATGCGCCGGCATCCAAGGGCGGGGTGTAAGCCTGAGAGTTGTGATGACACAGCGCTCGAGGCTGAGCCCTTCGCAGGCGAAGCTGGGGCGCACCAGCAACGCGTACATCTGATCCATAACAAAGTGCCGGAGTAGGACAACCTCTTTGGCTTCCATGCCTGCAGCACTTCGCAATAGCGGGAGGCAATGGAATGCTGGCACGGTGCCGTTAGAGGCTGTAGTTGGCCTTCCACAACAGCAGCAAGATATCCGAGACCGCGGGCGACGATTTCGCGCCTGGTGCATGTTTAGCTTCAACTTCTCATTAACTTCACCAGCCGAGGACCAGGCATGTATGACGGGACATTCGTTCCATCGACCTCGTGTCTGCAAAATCAATCTGCATCCATCTCTTGCACAGGGGGCGCAGTGCCTCCAGAATCTCGTAATTGTCGAGGCTGTGAAGGGAATAGTCAGCCTGCGAGAGCACTGCGAGAACCCTGCATCGATGCTGCGAGTGGACTGGAAGTGACGTGGCCTGCGTGGCTGCGCGCGCAGTCTTGGGCGCCTCGGAATAGTGCTGTCTGACAGCGTGTTCGGATTCGAGATGCTTGTCACATGTAGCGCACGCTGCAACTGGGCACAGGGCGGCGTGCAAATACTCTTTCAAGAAAGTCTCTTGAGCAGAGCGGCCTGCCAAATCTCACCAGCTTCTTTGGAAAACGAGCAATTGCACCGGTTGGCGGACAACTGCCTGCAGCAGTGTCATTATGCGGCAGCTCTCCAGTGAGGTCATAGCCTAGCGGCCGGCTGTTCAGAATTTCCTTGACCGCATCCAGTCAACAACTACCAATTATGCACTCAGGCGCTGAGCAGTCCACGCTTTCTGCGCTGCGCATCACCAAGGACCTGCAACTCGACAGCACGATGTGTCACATCGCTGCAACGAAGCCCAGATGCGGTAACCTGCAAGGCTGTAAGGGAGCACAACACGCAACAAGGCTTTTCCAAAAGGAGTGAGAGGACTCGTTTCACCTGCCCAGGCCCAGACCCACAGGGCCCAGGGACCTCGTAGGCAAAGGCGACGCGTGCAAAGGCAGCTTCAGCGTCTGCCTCAGCCGCGTCACAGACTACAACACAAATAAATAACCGATGCTGCAGGAAAAGGTGAGAACAGGGCTGCCTTGGTTGGATCGGCACCTCTGCTGATCACTCTGTACAGCATGCTTGGTGTTGTAGCAGACGTGGCAGACGCAGCTTGGCTGATGGCACTTGTCCGGATGATGCTGCAAAGCCAGCCGTCGATAAGCCTTAGCATCTCTTAGAGGACAGATACAGCATCCCATGTCCCTAGCTTCCCAACGTGTTGGAAGGTCTGCCTGTTTCACGTCGCTGGCATCCGCGTCTGGTGCGATGCCCAGCACCGAGTAGAGCGGGCGATCTGGCTTGAGCACCCTCACTGCACTCGTTCACATATTGGGAATGTTTGGGAATGCTCTGCCAGCTCTTGTGCAGCCTTCGTCATCCATCGACGCTCAGGGCTCGGCATGCAGGGGTGCTCGTGTTATGTGTCCATGAGCTGTTGCAGTTGCTGCATATGTTCTTATCGTTCTCTATCCCAACAACGAGAATTTGGGACGAGCAGGTCCACATGTTGTTAAGTGAAGCATTTTTGTTGCATCTCCTTGTTGCAGCCACCGCGGCCAACCTCTTCGACAATGAAGGCATGCCATGCAACAAGCAACACGGAACATGACGAAACCATTCGCTGCCCTGTTCTTTTCTGCTAGGCCCGGCTTTCAATGCCGTATCTGGGGCTCCCCGAGGTGAATGGTCTGGCCGGGTGTTCTTAGTCGGCCCGGCAGGCAGCATGGCTTTGTCCTTGTGTGGTCTTCTTCATGTTCTCCCCCATTCTACTTGGGTTGCGCATCTAGCTTCGCCTCGCCAAAGGGCGCAGCGGCTCGGAACGAGCTGTTCAGGTACACCAGGTGGGGCCCTGCATCTCCCCATCTCCAGGATGCTCCAAGAAGTTGGAGGTTTGGGTCAGCAGACTTGTGTCACTGATACCGGCGTCCTGGGGACCGTTTCCTTCGCCCGTCACAGAGTTGAACGAAGACGAAGGAGTTGCGCTCGTGCAGTTTCGAGACATCCGTGTCCACGTCAGTGCCCGTTAAGCTTCGTCCTTACACTCCAAGCCTTGGTAAATACGAACTCGTTCACGTGCAATGCATCTCGTGGACGTGGTTGCAAAGTGCGTAATGGGATCTCCTGATACAGTTAAGTCTTGCGCCATGTTTGTTCTTGAACTGCTCCCTGGCGAAACTTAGAAGCTCTGCGTCCAGTCGATTTGCAGCCTCAGGCAATCACGCAAGTGCAGCACGTCCAATGTTTGGAAGACGGGGATCGCAAGTGACGGCAACCTAAGGAAAGACTTCTCTCTAAGTACAGGCAGACTAACTATTGAACGACAGCCTCCGGACAACCCACCAATTCTGCGGATTCGGTTTTCAGCAATTTGGAGACTTTGCGCATAATCCGCGAACTTGCGGATGTGTTTTGAGGAATTTCTTGGGAAGCAAGGGCGGCAGTAGTCTGAGGTTGGGATAATGCCCCGAATCACTTGACTATTCGATTCTAGGTTCGAATCACTCAGGCTCATCAAGTGCAACCTTGGTGCCAGAATCTCCTTGCGAACCTGATGAGCGACGCGAGCGGCATTTGGGACACTTGCTCTGTTGACTGCTCCTACAGCGAATATTTAGGCTTCCAAGTATGGGCTCTCAATTTGGGTGCCTTGTTATATTTCCTTTACAAACACTATACATAATGAGGGCCCATGCTTCGCATTCCTGTGTAGACAAGGGTGAGGGACCAGACTTAGGGCCCATGGTTCCAACCTTAAGGGTTCGCAGCTTTGCAGATCATGCTTACCTGTGCAAGATCGTCTTTGCTTGGTGTTGCGGTAACGGCTTCGATTCTACTCGTTTCTCAGTATTAGCCCTTTGCCTTGATTCGCTGCCTCTTGAACTATTCTTGAACCCCTTCTATCTACTTGAAAAAAGTCTATCCACTTTGGACATTTTCGGGCTCTCTGCTGTCGGTGTCTCCGTGGGACATGCTTGCATGCGCTGCCAATGGCCGAGTCGTCCAGTTCGATCAGTAGATCGTACATAGTAGATCGCGCTTTCATGTTGCAGGTTGTAGACCCTGAAGGAGCCCGATAGAGTTCAACGTTGTGCCACCCTGTGCCGGGAAGCATCATCATGAAGGAACTCGCGCCAGAAGTTGCTGCCGGGCCCGTTGAAACTCAAACGTCGGTGCCCTCAGCTTTGACAGATCTACGTGAATGTGGCACTTGCAAGCACCCGAAATAACCAATATGTCCTCACCTTGCAGAGCAGCACTGCCCAATGGTCGAATTTGGCGTGCCTGCAGACTGTGGAACTGTGGAACAGCTGCTGGACCACTGACATTGCAATCTCGTGACTTGCAGCGTCTAAAACTGAAGGTCTGTTGGCATGGTGCCTTCTCCATGACGGGCCGCCACACGTGAAGTGCCTCGTCCAGTGGCTTTCACACACGTATAGTTCACATTGGTTTCACCTGACGTCACCTCCTTAAGTTGGCTGCTCGTCTCAGCCCACGGCGTGGTTGTTCTTGGCAAGATCAAGGGCTGCCTCAGTGTTCCACCCCAGGGCGGGCGCTATCACCTTGATGGATTCGTCGAAGCAGTCCTCGTCTCATTGTGCGGGGGCTCGGGCTGCTGTCGGAACTTGCATTGCAGACAAGGGACTGTTATGCCAAAAGCATCCAACCTTTGAACTTGCACCACTCGGATTTCCGACTCTGGCTTTAATGGCAGCACATCCATAGTATCTGTAAGTGCGGTGCGCAAGCAAGTGCTGCTTGGCCTCCGTAACACTTCCATCTGATCGACACGCTTTTGTATATGTCTGCAGGCTCGCAAGCCTCACACACTTTCAAACTCGCCTTCTCCAGTAGTGCAGGTCCATCTTGATCCCATTTGTATGCCTTCGAAGGATAGCCAGCGTCATCCTGCGCAGCACTGCTAGCGATACTAGGTTTGCTTGGAGTTGGCATTTCACATCACCAGACACCAGCCTGTGAGCGAGAAAGCGCGAAAGCATGACTGCGATCGCCACCCTACAGCTACCCGGGGTGGGAGCCATTCTGTCACTCGGCGGGGATAGGCCCTGACATACTCGGCGCATTTCTGCGGGGTTCTCTAGAGGTGGGCACTCCAAGGACACTCTGGAATCACCCGTCGGGACTCTCTGAGGGCTCTCAGGGACACTCGGCGGCAATCTCCTCGGGCTTCTGGCGGCGGGCAATCCAGGATGCGTACTCAGTGAAACTCTCTGCAGGCTTATGAGGGTGGGCCCTGACTCTCTGCTGTGGGCTTCTCTGGGAACGGGCATTCCAGGGACCAGGACAGAAGATCGGGCGGGAGGAGGCGAGGAGAATGGATGACTTGAAACACACAACAACTCCACACCGAGGGTAACAGAGGTAGGAAGAAGCGGGGAGGGAGAGAGAGAGAGAGGGAGTGCGTGAGACAGTGACATTGCAAAAAATAGACGAGCAAGCCAGGAGCTAAACCGTAGAATCGCCGTAGAAATTTTGAGCTGCACGGATGTCCTGTTCACAGATACATGCATCTCCTCCGCACCGTGTTGAGTTGCACTGCACGCGGTGGAATCCCAGTAGGTACAACCTTGACTGCGCGTTTCTGGCGATTTGGAGACGAGCCGGAGTTTGCCCAAGAATAAACCTTCAAGTTTGGGTCCAGAGCGCGTCTGCCTGTTTCGCGCTGGATTCCCGGGATGCTGCAAGTACTCGTGAAAGGACTGATGGACATCCTTGATGCCTGAGGACGAGCCAAGTGCAATCGGGCTTCGCAAGCCAAGCAAGCGCAAAGGCAAACAGCAGGACTCGTCACACTCGTCTAATCTTCATCCTGCTGAAGCCGACACTTCATGCAACCCGGAAAAGCAAAATCCACTGATTTGTCACTGAGGCGATGGCCAAGAATAGCATCGAGATCCGCGAGGTCAGCGGCATGGACATCCCACTGGTCAAAAGTAAGGAATTGGCGATGCTTCTCTCCTTGGGCAAGACTCGGCATGTTCTGTCATGCTGCCACACCATGCCACACATACCCCCTAAACATCCCTAAGTCCGAAATAACCGTTCCAGTGTGCTTGAAGTTCATCAAGGCACGGAGCATAAAGTACTCAGACCTCGGCGTAAAGCTGTCACCGAAAGCTAGCAATGCAACATCCAACAGCCCAGCCCACGAGCGAACTCAGCTCGGAACATGATCCTCTCCTCAGCAGCAGCGTTCACAAGGCGCACGAGACGCACGGGCCCCTCATGCCTTGAGGCCTCCAAACCCCGAAGCCCTTGCATACACCCGTAGGCGACAACCGTGCCAAGATCTTCACCAAGGCTCCCGGGTCGAGCGCCTACTGATATTCAAAATGGACGAAGACTGGATGCCCGAACCCTTAGAGGTGGAACAATCGACACCTTTGTCCCCACCCCGCCTTTTTGGTCGAATGGAAATACCTGAATACATCTGAATACTCCTACTCAGGACCCTCACGTTGGTTTCAAGGTAAATTGCCGCGCAGAGTCTCCTGACCTTCACCTACCTGTGCTGATGGTTCTTCCCCTCGGAGAGCCTCACTATGCGATGTGTGTGACTTACCAGCCAAGCATCAACCGGGTCACGAAGGAATGTCACGACGCACCCACGTCCAGGCCCACTCACAAACTCATGTGCGTAGCCTTGGCAATTCCCAAGCATCTAACACCATGATGTAATGTCAAAAAACATGGCAGCAACAGCAACAGAAAAACTGTGAAAGACCGGCCCAGGCGCCATATTCCAAGTGATAAAACCCGAGCCTCAACTCAGGAAGTTGCGTAGTCACAGTCTGCAGTGAATCACTTTGAGGGGTGTGTTCCAAGGTAGACGAGCCGCGGCAGAGAGCACTTGGACATGCCTCGTGCGCACCTCAGATTCTTTGGTGGAAGAATGTGGGACCTTCGCAGCTACAGCATGTTCTTGGCAGCTGCCAACTGGTTAGGAAACAGTCTGTGCAACAAGTATCAAAAAGTGCCAAGACTGGCGAAGTGTTCAAGTAGACAGCCCTGCGTGGAGTCTTAACAGAAGCTTTCATTTTGCAGTGCTCCGCTGCCGGCACTTCCAAACGGGCAGTCCCAGCTAGTCCGAAGTTCAGGATCGGTAAGGCGGCTGCGGCATACCAATCATACCAATCAGAGAGGTTTTTGGAGTTCACTGCAGGTCGCTTGTTAACTAAGCATTAACGTGATTAGCCGTCCTCGGGAGGCGAGGCCTTGCAAAACTGATATCCGGTGGCCCGGCATTCGTCCAGGCTCCGCCCCATGCATTTTTTTGGCCTCCTCCCAAGGCTTCGCGCGCGCGCGCGCATCAGCAGCTCAGAGCAGAGACGCCACACGTCAGCGCAAGGGGAAGAACCCTGGGATTCGTTTGCATGAAGAGCTTGAGGCCGGCAATGGTCTGCGCAAGTGGAAAAGGGCTATCGGGATCTTGCTTTCGCCGTGTTCGTTCTCTCTGTGCTCCTCGAGTCCTGGAACTGATGCGTGGTGGCTTGATCGTTTCAAGCATTTGCCTGATGATCTTGATCTGCTTGGCGTGTTTTACGATGCTCTTGACGCTGGCTGTCCTACTCCGCAAGAGTGGCGCCATGCTGGTTTGGTATGCATCCGCAAACCAGGCGCTAGGACTTATCGGATTTGGGCTAGTTGGCGGGAGAAGAAAGTTGCGGGACACTGATTTGGCGGGCGGCAGGCCCCACTGCAAAGGGGAAGCGAGCCTGCGCCCCAGGCTGTCTCACAAGCTCCTCTCCTTGGCCTTCTGCGTGGCCTCCCATGCCTCTGCAATGAGAGGCGCAGCCGCCTGTCGCAGCCGCTGTTCCATGGCCACAGACAGTGGCGATGAGGACACTGCAAAGTTTAGGCGGCCAAAACTTGCAAAGCAAGACCCGCCATATGTAAGTCAAGTTCTGAGCGGCGCTAACATGACACAAAAGGGATCCAAATATGAGGCGTGCCGATCGCAGTCCGGGAAAACTGCATGCCAAGCAATTCCCCGCATGACCTCCTCACTGCAACACTTGGAAGCCGTTTGTCTCACTCCAGAAAATGCACAAGGCGCCTGTCCCAGCTTCGCGTGCAGGTCTGTCGGCTCTGCCCACACATCTTCGACATAATCTCTTGCCTGGTACACAATCCACTGCCCAAGCGCCAGCGAAGTGCCCATGATCCACGAACCATGCTAGTGCTGAGACTCTCACCCGAACGTCGTGGAAGCTGTCCTCAGGAGAGTTGCATCTGTGAAAGACCTTTTGCACCAACCTCCCAACGACACAAACTTAACTTGCTCAAATCAAGGCTCTTCTGAATTCGAAGAAACGCAATCTTGGTGCACTTCTGACTGTTGTCTTTCGGCTGCAGTTTGTCCTGTTTGCATCCTATCATCACTGACAATCGTGTGGCCATCAGGAGCAATAGCCATGCGCGAGAAGCCTTGAACTCTTCCGAAGTCATTGGCGCCAGGCTTGCTTCAGACGTAGTCGACTGTACATGAGCTAGCCCAGCATGTAGAGAAGTTGACTGGGTTGTCTGCGAAGTCAAAGATGCCTGACACTTCTTGTAGACGAGCTACAGCAGAAGCTACTGTCGAGATCAACACAGTAGCATGGGCCTGCGCAGCCATGTCCCCCGCTACGACCAGTCCAGGTTGCATCTGCACCAGACATGAAATGACATGTCTTCTTTCATACGCACATCTTAGAAGGTATTGATTCCAAGCATGTCCAAACTAAGCGAGAACGACAGCAAGACACGCCTCCAGCGAAAGGTTGAAGCTGAAGCCTCCGCTCAGGGCTCCAACAAACGTCATTTGAAGCGACGATGTCTTGAAGTGATCACAGGTCCGTGCCTGCGAAGACGAGCGAGCCCACAGCTGCTGCGCACATCGTGGTGCACGTAAGACAGACGACAGGGCTTGACGTCCATCCAGCTGCATCTCGTTGCTTTCGCCTGTGCCCTTTGGCCATTACCGCCCGCCGATACCAGGAGAACGCTGTCGCGTCAACATCAGTCATGAACTCACATGTCCCCTGCACTTTGGCACCCGGTGTCACATCAGCCCGACCTCGAAACGAAACTTCATCTGCAGCTCAAAGCGCCAAATCAACACGAATGAAAGTTAAGCCTGCAAGCCTGGACAACGACCAAAACTGAAGCTTGTCTCGTGTCACGCAAGTGCACAGTGCAGCAGCGCTCGAGCCATGAAAGACAGCAAAAGATCGCGTATCACCGACATCAGCCTACAGACATGAGAGGGACCAAAAGGGCAAGCGCAGCATGCTGCCATTTTGCGCGCTAGTTTCTGCAGCGCTGGAAAGGTGACACCTACGATTGTGAAGCAACTACGGAGGGAGGGCATGTACGATGCCAGGCAACAATATGGAGGTAGTGTTTGGAGCAGAATACCAGGAATTACAAGCTCAAAGACACAGAGATGCGCGCATCGACGTCATCTCACTACTGCATCAACCACAGCCACCGAGCAGGCCCAGGAAAGAGCAACAGTGTCCAGGGAGGTGCAACTGGGATTCCTATGACTGTTTGGGCCTCTGGGGGCTGGAAGCGTGCACAAATTCACCATACAGTTTCGCATGGTTAAAGTTCTGCCATGATACAGAGCACAATCAAAGAAAACAGGACCTGCACCATTCGATACCATTCGCATAAAGCACGCGGCATGGCGACATCCACAAGCCCTGCCTGCACACTCCAGCGCAAGACTGGTGCCCCGCTTGGTGTGCTTTTCCAGGAGCAACCTGGGAGCGCTGCAGTCTTGTCCGCTCATGCATCTCAGCATGGCGAAACTACCTGTACTACTGAGGTACTTCCCGTCGGCAACCTTTTTGCCTAATGCGTTTTGATGCATTACGTGTAGTGGAAAGTTCCACAGCCCAGCCGATTGCATGCACGATTTTCAAGACATGACATGCTCCCATCGTCCCCTGAGGCCCTAGAGCAATCCCAGTCCATAACGTGCCTCGCTCTGCGATGGGCTGCGCCAACTCTGACTCAGGACAGCATCGGAATCAGGTGCAGAGATGAGAACAGATAGTGAAAGAGAGGCAACCCTAGTACGCATTCTCACGATGCTTGGAGCTGCATGTCATATTCACCGCAACACTCTTGTCCTGAGAACTCCACACAGAAAGTGGCGTTGGTCGGGTGAGCATGCATGGCTGTATCGACCTCGACCAAAGTCATCCGTAGTACACACATATTCCTTATGTGTTTCCGTGGACCACATCTCGGCAACTACAAGCAGTTATTTGTCCACGGCTGTTGCAAGGAATGCATGCTTCCGTACCGCCGGCCAAGCAAAACGCAGCGTCTGCATGTCTTGTAGGCTTCTTGCGAAGATCGACGACACGCATGTAGCCTCGCGTCATCGTATCGGGAGAAAAAGGTTGAGTTTTCACACAAAGGCTCAGGGACGCACCGAGCAGTCGGTCAAATTGTCGCCACAGATGTTCGTGTTGGAGCACTTCGCCTCATCGTGCAAGGTCGAAGAGCACACCACGGCAAATGGAAATTGATCCCATGAGTCCACTTCCTCCTCACAGTCTACCAGATCAACGGCGCCTGCCACCGCAAGCTTTCTGAGTGGCAAATGTTGCTTGATGCGAACATTGGCACAAGGCACCTCTCATGTTTACATTGAAGAGGACCGAAGCATCTGTGGTACACCTTGTCGACATTGCAAAGGGGTCCAAGATCGTTTGAGACTGCCTTTGAGACTCTCAAAACGATACAAGTAAGACCCGCACGGCTTGCAGCTACTTTGTCCCGCCTGGTCTTGATACGTGCCACCGGGACCTAGGCTGCCATGGCGCTTCCGATTCCCCCTCGCACGTCTAGCTAACGCACCTCAACAGAGCTTTGTGCTTGAATTCGAGCTGTATACTGACAAGGGCCCTCCAACCGACGGATGGCCAAGCCACAAGGGATCTTTTCGTAGCCACGGGCGAAGTGCCTGAAAATGCATGGGCTCAGGGCCGTTCTACACACAGCGCAGGACTTCGGGGCGGGACCCTGGAGGAGCGAGGCAGCAGCAGGTGTTTAAGTCTGTGTTGCAGGTGCAAGAATCAAAGCCTCAGGTTACAGGCCACGAGGATTGCGCGCAGCCATCCATCTGCATGTCAACATCTTAGAACCTTTTCGACCTTCGAGGTCCCAGCAATCCCCATCACAGAAATTGCAGTTGATACCTGTGAGCACGGTTCCGAATGCTTGCGCGGGTCTTGAAACATCGCCAACCTGTTTTGAGCCCAGGAGCATCTTCCATCTGTGCAGAATGCACCCTGGACGCTCTCCAAGACTGAGCACAGGAGGCACTGCACACGGTCGAGGAATCGTTCTGCTTCAGCACACCATGCCATGAACAAAAAGCAGACCAAGCAGCCCGTCACGCTGCCCTGCACGACTGCGGGCAGCAGCAACAACGTTGACCTCTGCTGATCTCTCATGGACGAAAACGTATAGTGCCAGTCTGCTGCTGCAGCAGCTCTTTTCTGCCAGGTTCGTTCTAATTGCCAGATTCGTTCTAATATGAACGCAACTGCACCACCCTGAGTCACTGACAAGCACCATTGCGCAGACATCCGAGGAAAGGTGACGAAACAGCGCACCGAACCTACTTGCTCCTGGCTGTCATCCCAATTCCGTGTAGTGATGGCTTCAAGAGCTGCCGTACTAAAATAGTTACGAGTTCGTGAGTGACAGAACGTGTCGTTTGTTTAGAGCTCGGTCAAACTTGTCGACACCTGCCATGAGCTTGCGTGCTGTGTGGGGACTGATGCTAGCAGAAGCAATGCAGGTATTCCATGGGCCGAGGTGGCAGCAAGCCCCAGTGCAACGCTGTTTGACAGCCCAAGCACTGTAACCCTGCACGATTCGTCAGACCCTCTAACCATGCCCAACCCAAGACCCGCAGCTACAAGTACGCAGGCTTCCAAGGAGCAGACACGAGCTCTCGAGGGACAAGACCATCTATCTCCACAGGATATTCGCATACGAAACAAAGGCTATGCAGCCCCTGCAGTCCGATCCAAAATGGGATCAAGAGCACAGTGCATCGGTACAGAAGAAACCAAGCTGAGTGCCCCGGGCCTTTAGTGCTCAGCAGAATGGGGCCATGCTAGAAACGAGTGGGAGGAGTCACAAAGCCTGCTGGTTGCTGAACTGGCGGTCCTCTGAGTTTTCCTACCCTGCACAGCGGAGTTCGCCCCTTTCCTGCAGAAAGGAGCCCTCAACCTCGGATACACAGAAGCTACGCATGCCACTAGAACAAAATCTTGTCAACATCGAATAGTTTGGCGGGCTTGAACAGCCTTTATCAGTACTCTCTTTATCGGGACGTAGGCGCTGCAAAACACAGTTTCATGTTGTGCAGAGGCCTCGGGTGTGAAACAGATGATCACATCATCAAAGACATAAACTGCATGGCGAATTCACATCCATTCCCGTTTCTCCTTCACGCATGCTCGCATCGCATCACAGGACACCAATGAGAACTACAACGATCGAAGCGCAGTGCATCTGTTCCTTCTGCAACATGGTCGCCGGCCGGGTCTCATTGAGCTGAAGATTCCTCAAAGCTGTCGCAGCTTCTATCGCTGCAGGACGAGTAGGCTTGCTAAGACATGGACAGGAGGGAAGAGCTTGTCATAAAGGAACCTCGACGCAATGCTGTCACGCTAAGCTCACGGAGATTGGCCTGATAAACAGGCCGGTGTTGCTGTAGAACGTGCTCGCTGCTGAGCAGCAGTTCTACTACCTCTGGCAGGTCAGCACTATCAACTCCAGCTCAAGGCTTCGAATCCTGTGCCTTGCGTCTGTCGGTGACAGTAAAATCATCCAGCGTCGGAGCCTGCGCCTCTAGACGACTGTGCTTCACGATGACAAAGCACACGAGCTTCTTCTAAGCGACTCTTAAGTGACACTGGGACCACCGACCAGCTTTGCAAGATGGGGTGGGAGAGCTTCAGGATATCCTCGAGCCTTCACCTGTGTTCCGGTTCATACACTTGCAACGACTGTTCTGCCGGCACCGAGAGCAGGTGCACAACTTTGAAGGCAAAGAGGTTGGCCTCCCCACCAGCTCGCAAAGCTTTGTTCTGCTCAAGCGCCATTTTTCGGCGCTCGGTTATCTCCGATTTCACCTTCGCATTGACTTCTGTGCTGCAGATGTCTTGGTGGCAAGTCTTGAGCAATTGCGAGGCTTTCATCATAGGAGGTCAATGAGTGTGAAATGGGCATCCGCACCTGATCTACGCACTCCAGAAAGAATGCCTTCATCCAATCCAAAAAGAGGCCATTGTGTGAGCAGATGTGGGCAAAGCGCGCGAACACTGCCAGATACACGGACTGCCTCAAGTTCTGACGGCTCCGAGAACTGACGGTCCGCGATCGCTCGCATCTGCAGAGAGCAAGCCAAATCTTTCAGTCAGCTGGTGAGCGCTCTTTTCCAGTTTGCAGACGCCCGTGGCCGACTACACTGTAAATACTCCTTCGAGTCACCCCTTCCATCGGACCCACCAACCGACCCAGCCCTCCTCTCAAGTGCCCCTTTGGTTTGGCCGACAGGGTACATCTAATTCATCTACCAAGCTCACAAACAAAAACCCTTAACGTCCACCTTTAGGATCAGAACACGCGCGTCTGCAAGCATCCATGTGTAGAAAGGTGTTGGCCTCTCGTTGTTATTATTCTTCCTTACTGTTCTTGTTGTTGTGTTTGTTGTTGTTCTTGTTATGGCTCTTTTATTGTTATTCTTATTGCTCGTGTTATTGCTTTTGTTCGTCTTCTTGTGCTTGCTCTTGTCATTGTTCTTGTTTTTTTGTTATTGTTGTTCTTCTTCTTCGTATTCTACTTATTCTTCTTGTTCTTGTTGTTGATCTTCCTTGTTATTGCTATTCTTTTAGTGCTTGATATTATTCTTGTTCTTGTTATTCTTCTCATTATCGTTGTTGTTCTTGATCTTCGTCTGCTTCTGCTTCTGCTTCTTCTTCTTCTGAATATTCATTTTATTCTTGTTTTCTTCTTCTCCTTCTCCTTCTCCTTCTCCTTCTTTTCTTTTTGCTCTTGTTGCTGTCACTGTTGTTGCTTCGTTTTCTTCTTGTTCTCCTTGTTAGGCTCCGCCCCACAAAACCCCCTCCCGGAGAAAAACAAACTCCGCCCTCTTTCTTGTCGGTTCAGGGCGCGCCCGGCTGCGGGCGACAGACCCCCTCAGATAAGCTTTAATCTTGCACTGGCCATGGGTCATGATTATTCTGGCGAAAATGAATACGACCGCGGTTCACTTTGCAACCCTTAAGTAGTGTGCATCACCCTGCTTAACAGGACCTTGACAACAAATTCAAGGACGCCACGAGCGAGCAATTCAGCCTTTGCTGCTTGCTTCTGCTCCTGCTGCAGCTGCTGCTTCAGCCGCCTTAGGCTCTCTGATCGCAATTGATTGATTCATTTGGTCCACTTTTGGAATGCATTGGTATCTACAACGCATGCGCGAGGCCACGGCTTCACGGTGGTCTGATACTTTTCTTCCAGTTCCTCGTGTCTTTCGGAGAAGCAAGGAGGTGCAAGCGCAAAGCACAGCCGAGCAAAGAATGCAAGTTTCAACCGTGTGCAGCGGTCCTGCGAGAGCCCATTGAATGTGGGGCCTTGCGGATCACAACAGCCACCCCGGAACTCCTCGCTTCACGGCCCTGGCCTTGCACGCTGTCAGCATCTTGGGGTATATCCTGCAGGCAAATGCGGCATTCTGATGCATTCAGTGCACTGCCAGTCTTGGATTCTTAAGTATCTTTAACAACCTGTCCAACCTGTCTGACCTGTCCTGAGGTTTGGCGGTCTGCTGCCTTGGCTGTTGCTTAAGAATCGGAGTGGCGAAAAGCATTTGAAAGGCAGGACAAGGAATGCCTCAGCTTCTGCAAGGCCCCCGACTGCTGACCATCCTCTGCTGACACCAGCGCTGCGTACGCTGAGCCCTGTGCCTGGGTGGCATGCGTCAAGAAACGGCCTTCAAACCCTTCAGCAATTCGCACAGGTGCGCAAAATTGACATCGGCAGAACGGACATTGAGCACTTTTGCTTGCAGGAGTCAGCTGGGGGCTGCAACTAACCAAGTAAATTCAATGAGCTGGCTTTCTCGGCCGTACGAAGCACTGCGCACATCTGCTCTTCAAAACATGCGGCTTGAGCATGGAAGGGTGTGCTGCAGTGGTTCGGCATGGTTCGGCAAATCGGCTGGAGCCCATCTCGGAGCTAGCCCATCTGCGACAAAAGCTGTATACAAAAATCAGTACTTGAATGGCAGGCAACTTGTTTTTCACAAGATGTGCCACACAGCAAGCGACCAAAACTAAATGCACCACACAGGGGGTGTCTTCGGTTGCTTCCTGAAGCTGTATAGGTCTCAGACCCGGAGCCAGGGCATGCCGAGGGGACTGTTCAAAACTAGCCATCTGGAGCCACACGCTCTCCGAAAGGAACAAGTGCTTTCAGATATTTGGCAATGAAACCACTATCCGTCACAAGCCCCTAAACAATGGTGACATAAGAGAGAGTACATGAGCTAATCTCGAACAATCACCCTGTCCCACGTTGTGGCGCTGAACTTGCCCTGCAAGGCGCTTCTGTGCACCGGAACATCACCGGTGCGGCCACCAAGATTTTCCCGGCTGTAGCCCGGAGCCCAACCCTCAATCCAAAGGCACAAACCAGAGGCATTGAAAGCCACGGCAGGCCCAAGATACTCCAAGCAAGTCACAATTACAAGGATGCGAGGTTCGGTTCCTCGGGCATCTCCGCTTGTGAAGAAACTTGTGAATGCTCAACATCTGTCCTTGGTGCGGCAAAAGCATTCACGAGCCTTCTCAGCATGTCCGAATTGTGTCAGCTGTGTCAACAGTATCCCCTCCGAATGATCGGGCCAGGATCGTGTCGTGCTTACGCTTCGAGGCAGAGCTGTGCTTGCTCTGCTTGCTTACCTGTCGACTGAGCGCTGCAGTGTACTGGAGCATCTCAATCTGCTGGCCACCTGAACGAATACGGAAGACCGGAGTTCACAACAACAGACAAAGACAGGAAGAATTGCTGCGCAAAAATCACGGCTGTCGTAGCTTCATGCTTGTTCTGGGTGAGGCTGTGGCCTGACGCAGAGGCTGTCTCTGGCTCATGCACATCCTCCGCCGTGTGCTTCTGGTACCAGCTGCTCTTGGCATAGTCACCTCGCTTTGACTGTCTCTTTTGCTCGCGAGCTGCCTTCCAATATCTTCTCATGCACAAACACCCCCCGCAGAACCTCGCCCACTGTACAGCATCCCGTCATACTGCATCTCACGCTGCCGCAACTCTCGTTTACCAAGGCAAGCCAGCAGAAAACAAGGTTCCAAACCGCTTGTTGCAAAGACAATGCTTCGGAAGTTGCAACGCAACAATTCGGCCCGGATCCTGCTCATTGAGAACGTACGACATTGAAGAGAGCTACTAGTGTACACGAGTTGCAAGTACTGATTAGGTGACCTTCCCGCCAACCGGTTTGGGAGCCGCTTTGGACAGAGTCGGACACAAAAACCCGATTCCCCTAAGTCGTCCGGACCATCAAAGCGCAGACAACACAATGCTGAACTTGCCGGCCTTGGACGCTCCCGAGAATCGATCTCCACGCAAAGCGCGCGCTGAATTCTGCTTCAGTTTCCACTGTGTGCGAACGGCTATTGCATTGTTTTGCAAACCTACTGCTCGTTCGCCGCACTACTGGTGCTTGCAAGTCAGAGGGTTCAACCAGCAGCCGTGAGTAAGTGGGTAAGGACACGGAATGAAGCTCCTGTCGTCGCATCTCTGGAGATTCGTGCTTTCAAACAGATCCTTTGCTTGCTTCAATTGTCGACTGGTGAGTCGCATGTTTCGAGTCTGTCTGGCGTGCGAGTGTGGCCCACAAGTTAGCAGACATCTGAGCTACGAGCAAGGACTGAGCATCCGACTGGCCAGGAAGGCTTCCAAGGCTCTTCCATTCTTGATGGCATTGCAGGGGTCGTGGCGACATGCGTAACAAGTAAGTGCCAACATACCAACCCCAAAGAGAAGGGAAACCCACAGCGCTGTGGCATCCATCGGATACGCAAACATCTTGGTATGCATGTAGAGCTGGTTCCAGGGCCACATGAAGATGGCTTGCGAAAGCCGATAAAGAAACGACTTTGACGTTTGGAATGTGCCCTGGACATCTGCCGGAACCAACTTTGCTAGCAAGTCAGGAGCGAAGCCGTTCAGAGCAAAGGAAGGCCCACCAAGCAGCGGCCAAATAATGTAGACGAGGTATCCATGGTCAGCTGGGGTGAATCCACATGCCAGTCCATACAGCAGAGTTATCACCTCGGCTTCAGCGTAATGCCTGTACTCCATGCGAACGAACGAGTGCTGCATCTCAAGTCAGCTCTGCCAACTGAGACGGAAACGACCGCCGGGATCCAAACTCCACGCATGTCACCCCAGCGAACAACCAGCTTTGGCACGGCTAAGGTGGTCAACCACGTTGCAGTTCCTGCTAAGACGGTGTGCGTCATCATCCTTGGACTCAACGGAACAGGGGTGGAGGCTTCAAAGTTGCGAAAACACAAACTACTGGAGTGCTGATCGGAGTCG